GCTCTTTGGAGCAGCCCTTGGTGGGAGATGAGCAGGGGTGGTAACCCTTCCCCGAGTCCACAGTTCTGACAGCTCTCACTTCAGTTCAAAGAGAACTGCATTTTCTGTATTTAAAGTGAAACTATTTTGTGTTTAAATGATAAAGAGAGCTACATTGCAAAATAATAACATCGATAATAGTAGTAATAATCACCCCTACCCTAGCCCAACTATTGTCAGCATCTGTGGTGGCTGTCTGCTGTGTCTCCATGCAGCCTCCCTTCCTCCTGGTAAGTTTCCCATTTTCCACTGGGACCTAACCCTCCTATTTTCACAGTATGGCATTTGAGCTGCATTGAGCTCAGGACCAGCTCTGTCATTTGCGGGCCCAGTGCAAAACGCAAGGCGTCTTGTTCAAAAATTATTAAGAATTTCAAGATCTTGGGTAGCAGAGCATCAAACCAAACTCAGGGCCCATGAGGCTGCGCCCCCGAAACCAGCGCTGGCAGGTGCGTGACCCGGGCCTCGCCAGTGAAATTCAAAACTTTTGCCAGAAAGAGGCTCTCACTTCCTGCTGAGATTGCTAGATCAGTAAAAATATAAACCTGGAGCTGCCGACTGCCATCTTTGTCTCCCCAGGGGGAGCCCTTGCTGGGAAAACATAGTCCAGAAGGACATGGACTTCCGGTATCGCAATGCGAGATCCTTGAGCTGCGGCTCTCGGAAGCATGAGCCACTTCATTCTGTCTTCGTGACGTCGATCCTCAACCAGTTTGAGGTACAGGCAAGAATCGAGACTCCTGGGGCGTTCCATCCTGTCTGTCTGTGCATATTCACTAAGTTGTAGTCACAAGGCTCGTGGAATGTCATATCCTCCTCTTTTGAGGGAACGTGATCCCGTGAGCTTTTCTGGCGTTATCACCTATTCTCCATAGGCTGAGTATTCCATCCCCAGTTGATTGTGGTCAGTAGATGGTTCACAGGTTTGTGCTCTTGAGAATGCTTCCATGGCAAACATCGTAATGCAGATAGGTTTAGGAGAACACTTTTGATGTGAAGTGATGTGCCCTTCCGTTTGGACCCTACCTAATTATGAAGGTCCCTAGGCCTGGGAAACTTCACAACAGTCTGGGGGGAGGGGGCAGGGCAAGGACAAACCAGCCCTTTACCTGCCTTGGCCACAAGCTTCCGGTGGGGCTCAGGCGGGGGATTGGCGCAGTTGGAGTGAGTGCAGCCCTGGAGCTGTGAGTGAAGGGGCGGACGTCCCCTGGGAATAGTCAGTGTCTTGGCTGCGGCAAACGTCCATCTAGTCCAACCCCCTCGTGTCACAAATGGGGGAACTGAGGCCCAGCAAGTTAGTGCAGAGTGGGCCTGGAGGCCTGTCTTCAGCATGTGCTTGCGCGTTTAGGGCAGCCTTCGGCATGCACCTTGAGCCTTCTTGATGCCAAATAAGTTTCCATCCTGACGCCTGATGGGATCACAAACTCCCAGCGACTCCGCCCAGCACCTACACCCAGAGGCCATTCCGTGCTCTCTGAACTCAGCTTGGAGCTCAACCCCACCTCCCGCTGGAGCTTCAGCCCCATCTTTCTGCCCGTTTCGCAGCCAGCCCCAAAAAGAGCCCTGGGCACGAGGACCTCCCCTTCCTTACTGTGCACCGCACTTTTAGTTTGCTTTTAGCTGCTGCATAGAGCTCTCTGGTACACTTTCTGGTGTGCAGAAAATTTGCTTAATTGACCCAATAATGGGGTCGTAGGTGGTTTTAATTTTTCTCTCTTCACTTTCAAGTCCATTTATGTTAAAAATGAAAGTAAGATGTAGTTTTAAAATCGTATTTATTGAGGTGTAATTTAGAATGAGATGCACCCATTTCAAGTAAGTTCTTTTGAAGGGTTACATCAGTGTACCCACCGCCACAGTCAAGGTATAGAACCTTTGCATCACCCGAAAATTTCCTTCATGCTCCTTTGCAGGCAGGGTCTTCACCCTCAGCCTCAGGCAACCACGGATTCATTTTCCTTGCTGTAGATTAGCTTTGTCTTTTCTAGTTTCATGGCAACCACCTGCACTACCTACTTTGTGTCCATCTTCTTTCCCGCAGTGTAAATCTGTGAGGCTCACCTGTGCTGTCCCGTGTAGCAATAGTTCTTGACCTTTTCTTGCTGAGTATTAGGTCGTTGTATGCTTATATTACAATTTGTTTATCGGTCCACTTGTTGATGGACACTTGGGTTGTTTCCAGTTTGGGGCTGCTGTGAATAAAGCTGCCATGGACATTCATGTAGAAGTCTTTGTGTTGACATGTGTTTTCATTTCTCATGGAAGTTTCTAGAATGGGCTTGCTGAGTTGTGTGGTAAGTATATATTTACTCTTATGTTTAACCGACACCCTGCTTTCCAACGCAGCTGCACCATTTTGCACTCCCACCAGCAGTATGTAAGAGTTACGGCTGCTCCACGTCCTCTCGACACTTGGTATTGGCAGTCTTTATTTTAACCACTCCCGTGAGTATGTAGTAGTGTCTCATTATGGATTTAATTTGCATTTCCTTGATGAGCAGAATGTCTTTTCATGCGCTTTGTGGCCATTTGTATGTCTTCTTTCATGAATTGACTGTTCAGATCTTTCCCTAGTTCTAAATTGGGTGATTTGTCTTCTTATTATTGAGTTGTCATTTGGGATAAAGTCCTTCATGGGGTGTGGTATATGTATGACAGTATTTTCTCTCAGTCTGTGGTTTGCCTTTTCATATTCTTAACAATAAATGTTGAAGAGTAGGTTTTAATTTTGATGAAGTCTAAATGTATCATTTTTTCTTTAATGATTTATACTTTTTTTTGGTGACCTATTTAAAAAATCTTTGCCCATCCCAAGGTCACAAATATTTTCTTCTAGGACTTCTATAGTGTTATTTTTTGTGTTTAGGTCTGTGAACTACTTTGAGTTAATTTTTTGTGTGGTATGAAGTAAGAATCAAAGATCAGTTTTTTTCCATATGGATCTCCTGTTGTCCCAACACCATTTGTTGAAGAGACTATCCTTTCCCCATTGAATTACCTTGGCATATTTATCAAAAATCAATTGGCCATCTATGTTTGGCTTTATTTCTGGACTTTACTTTTGCGTTTCTATATACAATTTAAAATCAGCTTGTCATTTGCTACCAAGAAAGCCCGTGCTGGGATATCAATTGGGATCAATTTGGAAAGAATTGATGTCTTAACAACATTGAGTCTTCCGATCCATGAACGTGGGGTATATTCCCATTGACTTAGGTCTTTGATTTCTTTCAACAAGGTTTTCTATATTTACGCATACACATCTTAAACATATTTTGTTAGCTTCATGCCTAAGTATTTCACTTTTGTAATACCATTTTAAATTTGATTATAAAATTACAGTTTCTAATCCTTTTTTTTTTTTTTTGGTATATTCTTAGGGATTTTCTACATAGATGATCATATGTTCTGTGAATAAAGTTAGTTTTAGGTCTTCTTTTCCGATTTGTATGTCTTTGATGTCTTCCCCGCCTTGTTTCGTTGGCCAGGACTTCTGGTACGACGTTGGGTGTGAGCAGTGAGAGGGAACTTCTCTGCCGTTTTCCTCATCTTAGGAGGAGCGCACTCGTTCTTCTCCCGTTAAGGATGACCTCAGATGTCGACTTTTCACAGATTCTTTTCTCAGATTGAGGAACTTCCCTTCTATTCTCTTTCTGTTGAGTTTGTCTCTTTTCTTTTACAATTATGACTGGGTATTGAATTTTTCACGTGTTTTCTGCACCCAGTGAGATGATCACGTGGCATTTCTCCTTCATTTGGTTATAAGGATGAATCCATTGACTTTTGAATTTTAAACAAACCTAGAATTCCTGAGATAAAACTCTCTTTTGTATATTTCTAGATTGGATTTGCGAAAATATTGTTAGGAGTCTTGCATTTGCATGCGGAAGGGGTATTGGTTTGGGGGTGTGTGTGTGTGGCTCCTTTGGCCCCAGATTTTGTGGGTTTCAGTCACGTTTTCCTGTGCCCCAAGGAGGGGGAAGGTGTTTCTCAAAAGAGGACTTGTAGACTTGATGGTGTCTCTTATTCTGGCCGAGGAGGATGAAGGGGGGCTGGTATGGTCTGGTAACTGTGGATCAGTGGAGAAATGGCCTTCTCAGCTCCTGCCAGCAAGTGTAGATGTCTCAACTATAGCCAGTGGATTTCCTTCCACACATAGGAGGATGACATCATTTTTTCTTACTGTTGTTGTTTCTTATAGTTTCTCTCCTGAGAATATTTATCTTTTCATTTATTATGATCATATTTTCCTTTGTGTTCATATGCATAGTTATAATAGGTGCCTTAAAATGATTGTCTGCTCGTTCCAACATCAAAGGTCACTTTCTGTTTGGTACCCACTGGTTGTCTTTTCTCTGGAGTTGGATTGTGTTTTCCTGTGTCTTCGCATGTCAGATAATTTTGGATTTTATCCTGGACATTTGATGACAAGTACAGAGACTCTAGGTTCAGTACACTGCTCTGAAGGATGTTGATTTTTATTTTACTAGGCAAATAACTTGGTTAAACTCAGGCTGTAAACTCTCTCCCCTGCAGATGACGTTGGCTGAAATCTCAGCTCAGTTCTGGCTTTAGCAGGGCTGCTTAGTGACTGCCTCACTCCTCTGTGGTGGGGTTGGCAAGAGATGGGCGTTTTATACACAGGTTTGGAGCCTCCCCTTCTATGGCTCTCTCTTTTTTGGATTTCCTCAGTCACTTTTTAGTTGCTGTAATCGCCCTGACCCCTGGTTCTTCAAGCCAGTAGGACTTTTCTCTCCAAGTTTTAGTTGCCCTTCGTGGGGCAGACTGGAGCCTGCGGAGAGCTTCAGCCCATAAAGAAGGGGCCCGTACCCAGTGCTGCTGCCTCCTGTAGGTGCAGACTCTCCCCAGTGTCTGCCCTTTAGTCTCTCCCCAGGGCCTTTAGTTCCTGTTGGAATTTGTGGTTCTTACCTACAGGAGGATTGGTCAGATAGCATTATTGGCTCTGACCAGAGCAGAGCGGCTGAGGAATGACACTGGATGGCCAAGGAGACCTCTCTCCCTGCCAGTGTCCTGTATGCCGTGACTCTCTTAGCCCCTAAAACTCAGATGGAGAAGAGGGTGAGGAGGAAAATCTCCGTGGACTGAGTTTAGATCTGAAATGACGGAACACAGCACTGTCTGAGGAAACTGGAACTAACTAGATTAACTTTTTTGCCATCATGTCACATGGAGGTTCAGGGCCGGTCAGGTGGTGTAGGGGGCAGGTTCACAGCTCTGCTTTGGCAGCCTGGAGTGTGCAGGTTTGGATCCCAGGCACAGACCTACACACTGCTTGTCAAGCCATGCTGTGATGGCATCCCATATACAAAATAGGGGAAGATTGGCACAGATCTTAGCTCAGGGCCAATCTTCCTCACCAACAAACAAACAAAAAAACAAATAAATAAAATGGAGGTTCAATTCTCACTTATAGAATATTAGAGAAAATTACACTTTCCCATTTACATCTTATGGCCAGAAAATCTCTTCTCTCCTACATATATGAAAGGAAAGACTTGAAGATGGTAAATACGAGGTGGGAGAAAGGCTGGGTGGAAGGTAGTTATTATCTTCCTGGTATTCAGTTTTTTCATCAGAGCGGTGGGGGAGGGGAGACCTAGAATTTCAGAGTCTATCCATGCTCTGACACCTGTGCTGTGTGCATTTGCATTTGTTGAATTTCTAGACTATAAGCTGTTTCCTCAACAGAGTCTCTTCCTGTGAAAAGGGATGTGCATCAGGGCGCGGAGAGCCCCGGCTGGAAGCCCCTCCCACTGCTCCTGAGGCCGCGTGGGCTCACCGCTGCCCCCTCAGGGCAGGCCTCCGACTGCAGGCAGAGCCTGAGGTGCCCAGGGCGGGGCAGCCTGGCCTTCCTGAGACCTCTGGCCTCTCTGCATGGGATCCAGCCTCCGTCGTTGTCCAGAGAGGATAGTCAGAGCCTTGGGCAGCTGCACCTGACCAGCTTGCCTGCTCTGTATTTTTTTCCTTTAAAATTTTTGTTTATTTATTTTGAGAATTTCAATTTCTATCTTCTGCTTAGGAGAGGCGAGCCGTCGTTTGGACAGAGTCCACATCTGTCCTGGACTCTCCTGTCACTAGGTTTTTGCCCAAGACTCGGTTGGCAATGAGCTCCAAGCTCCCGGCCTGGCAAGTCTGCTGGGAAAGAGAGCGTCCTTCCCAGTCATTCCAGCAAAAGTCTCAGGACTGAGCCCCATTGTTCTGTCACGGGTCTCGTGACCATCCCTGGACCAGTCATTGAGGCTGGGGAGACACAGGGCTCTGATTGGCCAGCCTGTCATGAGAGGAGTGGAGTTAATTCGAACCCCATCACCTGGGCTGAGAGATAGAAAGGGGGCTGCCCCAAGGAGAGGGCAGGGCCGTTCCCAGGAGGAGGGAGACGGCCTGCTGGGAAGGGCGCAGTCCACCGACTTCCACAGTAGGTTTTCCTCGAAATCCCAGATCCAGGGCTCTTCCAGGTAGGCTGCCAGCGCCTTCTCATTTTATTCCCTACCCTGCCCTGAGAGGTCAGCGTTGGAGAGAAGGCCACTGAGGTTCGCACAGATTAAGCACCTCGCCGGGGTGGGGGGTGGGGGGCAGCTCCTGAAGGGGCCTGGGCTGCCCGTGTGCCCCTTTATCATCTTAGACCTGCCTCCCCACTCTTCCTTCTGCCAGCAGGCCTGACACCAAGGAGACTGCTATCGTTTCAAAATAGAGAGGAAAAATTGGCAATAGCCATGAGTTGAGACGACTTGATAAAATATTTCTTGTTTTCTCAAGTTTACACTGTTGCTATGGGGTGGGTTGGCAGAGAGATGAAAATAAATCTGTGTCATTTATTTTTTCTATGCGTCAAGTATATTTGCGCTTGCCTCGCACACACACACAGACGCACACACACATGCCCGCTCGTATAGGCTTTAATAAAATACTTAAACCCCTTTAATGCTCTCTGTGGAAGGAATAAATATGTACTGTACTTTCAGCTTCTGTTCTTTGAAATACCATATGGTCTGCACTGTGAGCTTAAAATACTCTGGCGAGCGGATGCTTTCATGCAGCAGATAGCCAGGTGGAGCTCTCCCCGCCAATCCCACAAGGTTAATTAATCCTTTAAACTCCAGTGTGGAGGGGCCCTGCGTCAGGAGCAGGCGCTGGCGGAGGGGGCGCCACTGGCCCGTGCCGGCGCTGAGAGGGCACAAGGCGGCGGCAAGGTGGGCCGGCTGCTGCGGGGGGCGCCTTTGATGAGGGCGCCCAGTCGCTCAGATAGGCACAGTTTGCATCCTGCATAATCAGGGATCACGGGCTGACGGTTTGCATGAATAACTAAGTTTGTCACTGTTGTTAATTTTCCCTCAAAAAGAGGCCCCCCATCTCTCTGGCCCAATGCATATTTATAAAGGGCAGGGAATAAGGCAGAGGAGACCGGATGGGGGGTGCCCAAGGGTGTCGGGATGGCTGGATCCTGAAGCCCGCGAGGCCAGCTTGTGCCAGGGCTGGGGGCTGGGAGGAGGGTGCGGAGCTCAGCGGCATGGGAGGGGAGGAACTTCTGGGGGAGGGCAGCCTGGTTTGCCAGGCCAGTTTGAGCTGGCCTCTTCCTTGCTCTGGCCTCAGTTTTCCATCCCTATAAGGAGCATGTGGGCCACTTGACCGAGGCCTCAGGGTCGCCAAAGGACTGCCATCTCCAAATGAGGTTGCACTTAGGGTCAGACAGGAGGGAGAGACGCTGGCATCCATCCCATACCTGTAGTGGTTCCACGAGCGCATGGGATGTGCCGAGAAGCTAGACAGGGAAGCCTAGTGGCATCTGGCTGCCCCTGCCTGGGACCGCCTACCCACCCCTCCCATGCTGGAATCCACGCTCAAGGCAACTGGACTTCCTGGAGGAGCTGACATCTTCAGTGAGATCTGAGAGACTGTCAAGGATGTCGGGCAGAGGGAAGGGAATGTGCCGAGGGCCAAAGAATGCGGACTCGGCCTGGTGCTTTCAGGACCGGACCGGAGGCTGGCGCAGCTGGAATGTAGACTCTTGAGATGGGGGCTGGGGAGTCAGGATGATGCTTGGCACTGCTGGGGGCAGCAGGGCCAGGGCAGCCTGGATGAAGAGGGTGGTGGGGAATCCCCCAGCCGCCCCAAACCATCAGATTTGCTTCTGGAAAGGTCACTGTGACTGCAGATCCTGGCATCTCATTGTGTCCGCCGCTGCCCTCCCACCCTGGATGGGCCCAGAAGAGCTGTGCCTGCAGCCCGGGGATAACTAGCTGCCCACCTGCCCTGCGCCTCCCGCGGGCTGGGCCCTGAGGCTTTCTTCAGGACTGCCCCCACCCTAGCTGGGGGATGGGGGTGGCAGGGGTGCTTGAGCTCTACACTTAGGGGGCTGAAGGTTGCCACATGTTGTGCTGGGCAATTTGGAGGAAGCACTTTCCCCCTTCGGAGGCTGTCAAGGAGCTCCCAACCCCTGGGGTAATGGCAGGTCAAAGGGCGGGGACGTGGCCAGAAACCAAGGAAGCAATCTCTATTGGTGGAATTTGGGGCACAGGGACTATTTATGGATAGAGGAGGTGGCAGGTGCGTGTAGGTGTGTGTGTAGGTCTGGGACAGATTTTGCCACCCAGGAATTGGGCTCTTGCCTAATCCACTCCCCTGGGACCCAACAGGAAGACCCCTGCCTGAGTGACGCATGACATTCTGAAACAGCAAAGCCCAGTGCTGCCTCAGTCACTAATTAATTAATGACGCTCCCCAAGGGTCTCCTGGAGCCCTTGCGCAGGTGGCCCAGGAGGCCGAGCCTGCGGGGCTCCCTTCCAAGGGCTGTTGAGACGTAATGTCCACTAAGTCACATCTGGTACCACATTTCAGGCTTTGATTAATTAAATGTGGCAAATATTTAATTAAACACCATCAAAGCCACCATGACATCCACTCTGTGTCATTCGAAGGCGAGCCAGCCTTCTCTCAGGTGCGGCGCCCCCCACCTGATGTGCCACGGTCCCCCAGCCTGGTGGGAAGATAGCCGCTCTGGAACCCAGTTCTGGGACTCGGGGCGCCCCATTCGCTGGGCACTGCTGTCTGATTAGACCTCAGGCTGACTGCGGTGTAGACAGTCTCCCCACCTCCACCCTCCCCTCCCCCTCTCCAAGTAGATGCGGTTAAGACCAGTCACTGTGCTCCCCTGGAGCCTGCTGGCACCAGTCTTCCTGCCTGTGATAACAGATTCTGACCTTGGCCACGTGGGTGGACCAGCCATCCAGGCTGGGCCCATCAGAATCCTTCCCCAGGACTTTTCTAACTGGTTCTAGAGAGGAAAGACTTTGTTCTCTCTGGCTACCGGGCTCTGAGGAGGTAAGCCAGGGACTGCCTGAAGCTATGCTCCCTGACACGCAGAGAAAGCCAGACCAGAGAAGAATGAGTCTCACGTGCAGAGAGAAAAGAGAAAGCCTATGACTATCCAGACAGTTTTCTAGCCCCTAGATCCAGCTGTTCCTGAAGACAGAACCACCCCTGTCCTTTCTGTAGCAGGATACGTGGGTCAATAAGTGCCCCGTTTGTTTAAGCCAATTGAAATCAGTTTCCTGTCACAACCAAAAAAGGCTTGAGCACCCCTCTTCCTGTCATGCTACATGTGGGCAGATAAAAGTGACTTCTGTTTACCTGTAAATGGGCCTTGTTAGCAGCTCATGCACCTGTCAGCAGAGTATGTTAGGTTTCCTTGAGTGTCGCTTCAGCCCTTCAGAAAGACAGGAGGCATTTATGCCTGAAAGGATGAATCCCTCTGGCAAATGTTACTCCTGCCGACAAGATCAGCATGCTTCTGGAACTGCTGGACCCAGGGGCTCGAACGCTGTCATCATCTCCCTCCCTGTCTGTGTCTGTGTCTGTCTGTCTGTGTCTCGGTCTCTTCTGCATTCTACCACGTTGGTGTCATTCTCTAGCAATCTTCCTGTTGGGGCCCCGGCAGCTCTAGGCTCACGTTATCCTCACAAAGAGCAATCCTGGTGGAAGAGGGGGTTTTCTTCTTGATAGAAGCACAGAGTCCTGGGGTCGGCTCTGATTGCATGGCTTTGGCTGTGTGCCCATTCCTGAACCAATCACCATGGCGACAGTTAGAATACATGGATTGGTCCATGTGTTCTGGGTAAGGAGCCTGCCCCAGACGGGGGAATGGAGTCGATGGACCAGAGAGGGAGGGTGGGTCCCTGAGAAAAGTTGGTCTGCTGTTAGCACGAGAAGAGTGAGTGGGCAGAAGGAGGAGCAGGAGGCAATGGGACCAGCATGACACAGTGCCTGGGGAGCTTGTGCCCCTGGAGGCCTTACCTTCCAGGTGAGGGAGTGGAGGTGAGGCTGGCGCAGGCAGCAGGGAGCGTGAGCAAATCGTGTGTTCACGGTCTCAGGCCCTCATCGCTTGCTCCTTCCCCTGTGGAGAGGCGGCCTGGCAGGGTAGTTACAGGGTGGACTGAGGTTGATGGAGGGCCTCTGACAGAGCCAGCACCTGCTCTGCACCAGACAATCAGAGAGATTTGGGGCAAGTCTGGGGGCTGTGCTCCTGGGCGACTATTCAACCTTCTGACCATGCCGCCAAGAGGAGAGCTGGGCAGCGGAGGCCCTGAGGATGGGGAGGTGTGCCCTCAAGAGAAGGGAGGGAGAGTGTTCATGGGTCTAAAGCCAAAGACCTGGGAGTCACTGATAACTGACAATGGATAATATGACTGATAATGAAGCGTACTTCCCACGCTTACTGTTTATGATCTTTCTCCCCTCACGTTTCAGTTGTCTGTTGGAGCAATACCCCATAAATCAGTGGCTTAAAGCAATAGCAGTTTATGGTTTCTAAGGACCTCGTGGGTGGCTGGGCTCAGTGGGCAGTCCTGTTGCACATGATGTTGACTGGGGTCCTTCAGGTGTCTGCCTTCAGCTGGAGCTTGACTGGAGCTGGGACATCAGATAGCATTGCTTATGTGTCCGGTGCCTCGGCTGGGGGGCTGGCACAGCCAAGGGCTGGCTGGGCTGCTTTCTGGGCAGGGTGGCTGGACTTCTTGCATCGTGCTCTGGGCTCCCAGAGACCAAAATCAGTTCTCTTAATGGCTAGGCCTAGACCCAGCACGGCCTCACTCCTGCTGCATGCTGTCGCTCAAGGCTGGTCGCAGGGTGGCCCGGGTCCAGGCGAGGAGACTCAGGGCCCTGCTGATGGAAGGAGGGTGCGTGTGGGGCTGTGGCATCGTCGGCTGCCGTCTTTGGAGACTGGCTACCGCATGCCGCTAGAATGTAAGCCCCGGGGGGATGTGTTTCTTTTTGTTCACGGACGTATCCTAAATGCGGACACTGGAACAGGCCCTGGTACATATTTGTTGAATGGACTGGACTCACTTTGCCGATGCTCAGTTTACGCCCAGACCTGTTCCTGGAACACAGGCCCAGCGTACAGCGGCGTTTGCCTATGAGGAGAGGACTGGGGAGCAGTGACCATGCGCCCCAGCCCATGGCATGAGTCCGAGCGCACCCCTCCTCACACGTACAGGTTTACAAAGCCTGGAAAAGAGACTGAAAATGAGGCGAGCAGAACGACGGCCATGGCTGCCCTGCAGCCTGCATTCTCGGCTGGGGGAACTTCCGGGGGAAGCTGCTCTGCTCGGGGTCTTGATGTCTCCATCTGTACAGGGTGTGCATGGGGCCTGTTGACTAAATGGGCACGAGGGGTGTTTTTAGCGCTGTAGTTTTATGACCACGTTAAAATACAGATTCATTCATGGATGTATTGATGTGAGTGTCCGGCACTGTACTAGATTCAGGGACACAAAGGATAAGACACGATTAATGACTTCACAGACGTTTAAATAGACAGGTAAATGTGACCGGTATTTTAGAGAGAGGTGGACACACTACCATCAAGATCTAGGTAAGATTGGTCCCAATGACCTTCTAGGCCAGTGCTTCTGTTTGTGGCTGCTCAGGAGAACCACCTGTGTACAGTTTAAAAATGCGGACGCTGAAGCCGCCACCTAGAGATTTCATTCAATAGGTCTGAGCTTGGCGTGGGGGTTCGTCTATGTCAGAAGCTCCCCAGGCATTTCAAATATGCCCCAGGCCCTCTGGTTCACATTTCCAGCCTGGAGTCCCGGCTCCCCTTGGCTCCATCCAGCACACATTCACAGCCAGGGCCCAGCCCCTTCTCCTTGATTTCCCCTCCAAAATAACCATCCCTTCCTTGGAAGCAGCCGAGGCCAACCCGTGGTGGAGCCCTGGGGAGCAGGCTGGCGTCGCAGCTCCCCCCACTGTATGCGGGACCTCTCTCTGCCCTCCCCTGCCCTGAGGCCCTCAGGGCCGTCTATGTGGCAGTGCTGGCCTTGGGGAAGCTGGTGGGCTGCCTTCCTGTGCACCTGGGAGGACGCTGCTAGCACTCGGTGGAAGGTGTCAATGCACTAGCTTGCTCACGGGGACCCGCCCGGGCTGAACCTGTGGTGCTGGCGTGCCTCGGCCCGGAGGTGGTTAGCAGCCTGAGCCGCGCGGGAGTGGGTGTTGAAGAAAAAATTATTCCTGACACTCGTTGAGGACAGGCAGATTTTATTCAGGGGGTTCATCAAAATAAATGTAGGGACTACTGCAAAGGGGTCATGAACTGGAGGAGAGAGATCCCACTCAACTCCGAATACAGATGAGAAGTGGGAATTACAGCCGAGGAGTAGCTGGGGGTCAGTGGCTGGAGAATTACTAAGAGGAAACGTCAGGGGTGCGGGGATTCTGGCCGAACTGACCTAACGGGATTCTTGCTGAAGGCAGGCCAGGGGTCAGACATCCCCTGGAGGGCTCTGGGATGAGGAACCAGGCTTCGAGGGTGATCAGATGTCGAGGGTTGGGGGTTCTGGCTAAACCGACTCAGCAGGATTCTCCCTAAAAGTGGACGATGCAGGGACAGTCACCAAGTCCAGAAGTGGAAGTCCAGTTGAGAAGGAGTTCAGGGGAGCCCGAGCTGAATTTGGTTGAGGAAGGAATCTTTGTCAGTGTCCAGGGAACCACTGGCCATGCAGGGCCCGGAAAACTGGCACCCCACCTGTGAGAAGGCAGGGGTCTGAGGGAGGAAGTCCACGCCGAGGACCAGGACAGCGGCCCCGCTGAGGAAGGAAGAGAATGTCACGGGGAAAGTGAGCAGCCTGAAGGAGATAAACTAGGGTGGCGTGGGTCGGGGAGGAACCGAAAAATAAAACGATGTCTCGCTTTAAAAATTCAGCCACAGAGCTCGGAATAGAGTGACCACTGCTGAGAAACAGTCAGCATCCTGGGAGTTCCAGCGGGAGAAAATCTCTCTTCAGTGCGAAACCAGAAAGAGATTTGGAGGACAAATCCAGGCAACCCAACATTCAAAGGAGAGGGGTTTCAGAAAAAGAAAGAAAAAAAGAACGTATAAAGGGAAAACAGTAATCGAACAATTAATTAAAGAACACTTTCTGAGCTGAAGAAAGCCTTGATGAAAGGGGCTCATGGAGCTCCAGGAAGGATTAACTAAAAAGACATATACTTAGACCCTGGTGTAATTCCTGAATTATAAACTTCCAGACAAAGAGGAGAGGTGCTTACAAAGGAAAAAAAATCAGGTTGGTATTGGCTTTCTCGTCAGCCATCCTGCCACCCAATCGCGACATTGATTTCAGATACTTAAGGGACAAGGACAATGACCCAAGAATCCTATATCCACACAAGGTATCATTCACACATCCAGGTGATAACAAGAGGTGTCAGAGCTCGCAAAATCCTGTACCCCATCTGAGGAAGCTGCCGGAGAGATGCTGCAGCCAAAACCAGGTGGATTGGGGTGCAGCAAGGGAAACCAAATGATGACCTGGAGATGGGATCCAAAATGACCTCAGCAAAGTCCAGCCATTGGAGGACGGGAAGCGCATGGAGAATGAGAAGCAGAAAAGAGAAGGGGAGAAGACAACTGGAGGGCTTTCATCTTGGTAGGCAAGAAAAACATCTTGATGGGAGGGCTGTGTCAAACACTTGTTTGAAATTGATATGTCCGTGTGTTGGTTTAAAAAATAAGTCCACAAATTCTTCGAAGATATTCCCTTCAAGAGGTGGAGCTGAATTCCCCTTCAGAGGAGTGTGGAAGGGACTTAGCAACTGTCTTCTGACCAACAGAATGTAACAGCGTGATGGGGTGCGACTCTGAGACAAAGCCAAAAAAGGCCCTGGGACTTCCTCCCCCGGACTTTCTCTGCTGGGAGCAGACCGATGGGGGCCCATGTCACGAAGAACTGAAGCCTCCTGCCAACAGCCACATGGTGAGCCTGGAAGAAGACCCTACAGAGCCATCAAGCTTCTGATGACCGTGGTTGACACTTGTTTCCAGCCTCGTCAGAGGCCCCGAGCCAGACCACCCGGCCCAGCCACTCCCAGACTCCTGACTCTCAGAAACTCTGAGACACTAAGTTCCTGTTGTTTGAGCTGCTAAGTTTTGGGGTAATTTGTTACACAGCAATAGGTAACTAATACAATCTGTAAAGAAATGCAGCTTTCTACGATTCGTAGGGATGGGAAGGTAACCATTATTGGGAATGAAAAGTGTCACAGAATTTCCAAATTAATAGGGCAAAGAATGACGAGAAATCTGAGCGAGCAAGCAAACGTGAGTAAATGGGAAAGGGGAAATAACATAGCAAACATAAACTAGAAAGACGTGTAATAAAATTAGTTAACATACAATAAGATTGAAGAAGTTGAACCCAATATATGTCATCCATCATCATAACAATGATGAGTTTTCCTATCAAGCTTGGAAAAACAAATAAAATCCAAGTGGATATTATTACATGAGACATCTCTAAAACAAAGATACAAAACAAGGTTGGAAATTAATTGTTGAGCAAAGAGCTACCACACAAATGCAGACAAAAAGAGAGCATGGTGGCAATGTGAACATCAGTCAGCGTGGAATCCTAGGGGAGGAGCACTGACCAGGACAGAGAGGGAAATCATGAAATTTGAAGGTACACTTCACTGAGAAAAAACAACCTTCATAAACACGTATGTACCAAACAATGTGGTGGTTAAACACATAAAGCAAACTCCTAGGAATACACAGAGATCAGGATAAAAATACAACCACAGTAGGAGGTGACAATGCAAGGGAACAATTATCTGAGTATACTGTATTCAAATCCCTGCAGTTAAGAAGTTAATTTGAGGCCAGCCTGGTGTCCTAGTGGTTAAGTTTGGCATGCTCCATTTAGGCAGCCCAGGTTCCTGGGTGTGAACCTACACTAGTCTGTCAGTGGCCCTGGTGTCATGGCAGCTCACATACAAAAAGAGGAAGACTGGCAATAGATGTTAGCTCAGGGTGAATCTTCCTCAGCAAAAAAAAAAAAAGAAAAGAAAAGAGGTTGCTTTGAGAAACACAAGCAGTCCTAATGCAATGACAACAATAATAATGATAATAAAAAGAAACAGACATTGAGCACTTACAATGTGCCAACCAAGGTTCTAAGCACTTTGCATGTATTAATTAACCCTTGTGGTCCCTGCCACAAACTATGAGTCCTGATTATTACTATTTGCCAAGATGGCTATAATAATTTCTCCCATCCTTGTACACATAACCCTTGAAATGTGACTCTACCATTCCCTCTATTAAGAAGTAGAGTCTATTTTTCCATCCTTTGAATCTAGTCTGGCTTTGTGACTTGCTTTAACAATAGAATGTTGCAGAAGTTACTTTTTGTCACTTCTGAGCTAGGTGTCAACAGACCTTGCAGCTTCCACTCTTGCTTTTTGGAACACTCCCACCATCACGTGAAGAAACCTGGGCTAGCCTGCTGGGGACTTGTGGCCGAGCGCCAATGACCACACAGGTGAGTGAGCCCATCTTAGGACACGCAGTGTGGCTGGGTTTCCAGGTGACTGCAGTGCATGAGGAACAGCAGACAGGAGCAGCAGCAGGAGCACCAGCACAGCCCAGCCCAGATTGCTGGGCCACAGAATCGTGAGACAGTGAGACAGTTTTTGTTTAAAATTTGTTGGAGTGGTTTCTTTTACAGAAATAGACAACCAATAAACCACCCCCAGTTTGCAAAAAAGGAAACAGAGCCACAGAAAGGTTAGATAATTTGCCCAAATTTTCACAGCTAGTAAGAGGTTAAGCCACGATTTGAATCTTGATACCAATGAACCAAGGTTTTATAAAATTAATCCCCACTCAACATTCCTCTCAGTTTGCAGCTAGCATCTACCTAGACAAATGCATCAGCACTTCTGATGGTCACGAAACATCCCCTAATAGAACACAACACAAGTCAACTGCAAAATGAAATGACAAATCGTAAAAATAATGTAGTATTTTATGAAATAGGATAAATAAATATGCAGAATTTTAATTGCTTTTTAAAAGAATCAGACTGGATTCTATTTTAAACAGTGATATTGGACAATTGCTAGAACCACATGCAGAGCCACTGACCGAGAGCAGTAAACAGTGGAGAAGGGAAATTTCACCAAAAATAAAAAAAGGAGTATTTCAAAAGAAAATGGTCTGATTATTGTGACAGAAGCTGTTAATTGCCACCCAGTATTCATCTTCTTCTCACTGACAGCAGCCCAATTTTGTTGAGGGTGGTGATGTGCTCAGTTAAAAAAGGGAGTCACATCCCAGACTCCTTTGCAGCTGGGAGTAGCCGCCGAACAACATTCTGACCCATGAGATACCAAAGCCTGCTTGCAGGGCTTCTGTGAAAGTTACTGTTTTCCTGATAAATAAGGGACAGGCGAGGCTGGCGTGACCATCTCTGCCCTGAGTCCCGCCCCCTTCTTGGAGGTGGAATGTGGATATGACGCCTGCAGGCGCACACCCGGCGAGGGATGCGAGGGGGAAAGCACGACCCTCAGGGCGGCAGAACAGGGAGCCGGGGAGCCGCATCTGCGAGGCTTCCTGGGAGCAGGGGCCCCCAAGCCCATCTATTTGCCTTCGGAGTTTTTGTCATATGAGAGAAATAAGCTCTCAGCTTGTTTCACTTGCTAAATTGGGTTTCTGTCAAATGCAATCCTGACTGATACAAATAGCACAGGATTAAGAGAGGCCCTTAGGATGACAGCTGAAGCCATCAATTCAAAACATGATAGTACTGCAGAAGCCAAATGTGAAGGCAAGGGGTCTCGCCAGGCTCTCACACAACTGTATTGGAAGCATTATACTTCCAAAAGGTCAGTGTTAGATTTACTGTTTTTAAGCAAACTTTTCATTCAAGTACAACATGCATATGGGAAAGTGCACTAGATTTATATTTGTTCTAAAATTATTACATCATTGCAATTATAACCTAAATTTTGGTAAATATTGGCTAAAAAATCTTTTTTACAATACTTGGTTTCATTTCTCACCATATAATGCCAGTAAAACCTTTTTACTCTTTGCATGAGATTTTGTCCTCTCCCACGTGGATTCGCTGTGAAGGTTTTTTCTTTTTCCTCTAGTACCATTGTTCTTGGATAATGACGGTGTCCTGAATCTCTTCCAGAAAGTGGTAGCTCTTAGCAGGCAAAGACGTAGAGGATCTGAATAACACAGTTGATTGTTCTAGGTTTTACTTTATAAACAGAGAAGACACATTCTTCTCTTGTGTATCCTGGACCATCTCAAACATCAACAGGTTCTTGCTCACAAGCAAAACCTAAGGCAATCTCAGTGAACTCAAGATAGTACATATCATATTCTCTGATCACATCCCAGTGAAAACAGAAAGCAACAATTAAAAAAAATAATCTCCTCAAAAAATTATTGAAGAAAATAGGGGCCAGCCCGGTGGTGCAGCAGTTAAGTTCACAAGTTCTGCTCTGGCGGCCCGGGGTTCACCAGGTCAGATCCCGGGTGTGGACATGGCACCACTTGGCACGCCATGCTGTGGTAGGCGTCCCACAAATAAAGTAGAGGAAGATGGGCATGGATGTTAGCTCAGGGCCAATCTTCCTAAAAGAAAAAAATTATTGAAGAAAACAAACCTGTAATATTTGGAAATTAAACAATCTCTTCTGAATTATTTGGATCAAAAAAGGAATTAAGGAGAACATCTCAAACCAAAACCTAAGGGACATACTAAAATCAGAGAAAAATTTTACAGTAAATAAATTCTTTTAATATTAAAAAAATAAAGTGAAGAAACCCCACTTAAGTATTTAATTTAGGGAATTAAAAAAGAACAATACAAAAGACCACACCACACACATGGACTGAGTATGGGGGAATTAATAAAGGTAAAAGCTGCAAATTATGAGACAGAAAACTGAAAATAGCATAAAAGTAAATGAACCCAAATAGGATTCTTTTTAAAAACCAGTTAAATAGATAGACTCCTTTTAAGTCTGATTTTGGGAAAAAGCAAAAAATATCATTAGAAATGAGAAAGCAGTTATAAGTACAGACTCCATGGTATGCATCTTTATGGCAGTAAACTTTATAATCTAGAGGAAAATGAATAATTTCCCAAAAAGGATAGATTACCAAAGTGTAATTGATAATAGGTAGAAAAATATCTCAGCCAACCAAGAATCACAGGAAAGTTCGACAGCAACTAAATTTCTGCCCTTAGGAGAGTGGCCTATTATTTCTACCTTGTTTCAGAGTGCTGGCTAACGCAATAAGAGAAGAAAATGAAATAAGTGGCATACCTAAAAGACAAAGAGAACAATGTAATTCCAATTACTCTGAAATACAATTTTGGGAAAAACTGATGTCTTATTATGGTGTCTACCTATCCAGAAATATGGTATATCTTGCAAATAATGCCTTTAATCTTATTTTAATAATATCTTAAAAATATCTCCTTATAAATGCTGAACTTATTTTGTTAAATTTATTCTTTAGCATTTTCTGGACTTTGTGAACAATGTACATAGATTTCCTTCCATTTCTATTCCTAATCATTCATAGTGGGCATGGAGAAAACCATTGATTTTGGTATATTTATCTGGAATCTAAGAACCTAGCAAAATCTCTTAAATGTTATTTATTGCTTTTTTAGCATCCGCCTGCAAAGGTAATTCTTTTTAGCTCCATAATATTTCCCCCATATGATAGGCATTCGTGTTATTTCCAGTTTTGTCACCCTGCACACAGAGCTGTAGGAAATATCCTTGCCCAGATATCTTTATCTGCTGAGATTTTCAGTTGCGTCTGGAGAGTGGGGTTGCTGGGTCAGGAGATGTCTATGCTGGAGCTGGGACCCTTGGGTGCACAAGAAAGAAAAATATCTTTCCACTAAAACTTTATTTTAATTTCATGTAGACAACTAATCTTAGTTTATTTGGGGTTCTTCTTCTGCGTTTGAGCCTAAGTTCGAGTCTCCCAAGATGCCCAGGCGTTGGTGTTGTGGGGCGGGGGAGGGAATGTATAGGTCTCTGTCCTGGGTTCATTCCGGCTTCGGTGACATCATGGACTCCTGGACCCTGGAGTCCAGCAGCTCCCTCTCCTGGTTCTGTACTATCGGGTGTGGGGGGTGCCATTGGAGGCCTTTTTGCGCCCTCCTGCCATAGCCCAGCACGTCAGGAGGGGCCTGCTTCCCACAGGAAGGCACAGACACCAGCAGCCTCTCCCTTCTCTCTCTGGGCCAATGTGTTGGCTCTTGTCATCCTCTGCCATTTTCCCTGTCCCCATGCAGTCCATCCATCTGGACCACAGTCCAGGGTGATCTTTTCTGAAGGGCGGTTGGAGGGCAGGAGAGAAGCTTCCTGAAATCCACTCCTGCCCCCTAATGTTTCTGCAGATGTTCTCTCTGGGCCAAGCGTCCTCTGTGTTTATTTAAGGACTTGATTTTAGGAAACCAAAGCTGCAAAAATGCCTACAGTCTTCACCCTCCCGCTTCTTCCCTGAGATAATGAGCAAAGACTGCATTGGATGGGGGTGGAGAAGACAGGACCGGGAGGCCGAGAAGGGAGGGAATAACAGGTGGCGAGAAATAAAACACGGGATAATATGCAAAAAATCTCCTGCCACAGCCACTTTAAAATTGTAATAAATGATGCACAATTCAATATATGTAGCAATTCACCCTTCCACCAGGAATGACTTCTACAGGTGTCCGTTGCCCTACCACCTCACCTGTCCCACGTGCTATTATTCTTTTGAATTTTTGTCACCCTTGTGGGTGCTGTTCTCATTTAAATGTTCCTGACACTTAGGGATGTTGAGGGACTTGTCACACGTTTATGGGACATCTGCAGCTCCTTTCATTCTCTGGTCCTGCTTCTGTCCATTTTTTCTGTCGGGTTTTGCGTCTTTTTCTTATCAATGTGTAGGAGACTTTTGTTGCTAGCGGTCAGGGAGGCCTGCGAAGTGGAGTCCCCATGAGAGGAGGGGCAGATGGCAGAGGGCTGAGGGCAGACCAGACTGCCTGAGGAAAAGACCCAGGGGCTCAGGAGCCGCACCCCCGTACTGAGAGAACGCGCACAGGCCTGTGGACAGGAGAAGGCAGGGCGCGGGCGGGCTGGCGTTATGGTAGGGTCCTCAGAAAAAGAAAGAGTAAAAACAATGAAATAGGTAAAATAAAATGTAACGCAAACAAAATACAAGTGAAGAGAGAAAAGAAAATAATTAAAATAAAATAAAAAACAGTGTTGCACTACAGCAGGACCCTGCCGGGTCTGAGACGCTGAGAGCACAGTGGGGGGTCCTGGAACCCCTCGCAATTCCACCCCCTCCTCCACCGTCCTTCCTGCGAACGCCCATCGCGGCCCCGCCAGCGCCGGGAGCCGCCCGGTCCGCGGGCGACGGTGGAGGCCGGGCGCGCAGGGAGGAGGGCAGCACCGGGCCGGCCTCGAGGCGGCCGCGCCGCACTGTCTTTGTCCACTCGGGTGTTCTCACTCCCCTTCACTGTGTGCTGTGTTTCTTCGTTGTTTTCAGTCCTCTTTCTGCACGCACGTACGGAACAGCAGTGCGCGCCCGGGACGCGCCCCGTCGCTGTCCCAAGACTCCCGCGCGTCCTTCCACCGCGAGGGCCCCAGCGAGCGGGCAACCCGGGGTCCGGGCGGCCACCCGGCGCGGCCCGGGGGCCTCGGCGCGTTCCTCAGCGGCTTCAGGGCGCGCGCCGGGGACGCCGAGCTGCCCGCTCCTGGACGGCTTCCGCGGAGCCCAGGAGCACGCCCCGCAGGCGCGCTGCCCTCGAGGGCGGACCGGCGGCTCCCTCCCGGCGCGCGCTCCCGAGAGGCAGCCCCTTTCCCCCGGCGCGCGGCCGAGCCGGCCCGGGGACCTGAGCCCTCGCTTCGCCAAAGGCGGCGCCTGCGGCCCCTGCGCCCGCCTCGCGCGCCTGGGCGTGGTGGGCGCCGTCGGGGCGGGTCCCTGCTCGGAAGTCTGCCGCCCGCGAGCGCGCGTTCCCAGCGGGCCCTGATCTGGCCCAGCCACAGGCTCCTCGCGGGCCGAATGGGGTGACAGCCCCCTCCCGTGGGGTCGGGGCGCAGCGAAGCGCGAGGTGTGTGACCCGGCCGGCAAGGGGAGCGCCCCGCGGGCCTGCGTCCCGGCCCCGCCGTGCGCGCCCTCCCGGCGGCGAGATGGCAAAGCGTCTGCTGCCATCTGGTGGCGGCGTCCGGGCAGCTGCGGTGCAGAGCGGCGAGGCCCGGCCAGGGGAGCGGGGCTGGGGTTCGCAGGTCCCCTCCACAGCCCTCGATCCCGAGCCTCTCACCCTGCGCGACACAGCCAGGAAGCCCCACGCCTCCGCCCTCTTGCGTTGCTCCGGATTCCCCAAGCAGAATGGCGTCCAAGAGAGGCAGTGTGGTACAATGGTCGGCGCCTGGGCTTTGCTGCCCTGTTGAGCCAGGCTCTCCACACCCCAGCTGGGCGGTGTGCAGCAGGGCCCCTCACTCTCTGAAGCCCGTTTTCTCATCTGTAAAGGGCGCTGAAAGAAGCAGTGCCTTGCGGAGCCTTTGCAAGGATTGCCTGGGCAGACGCGCATAAAGGGCCAGGCCCGTGGTAAGAGCGTGATAAATATAAGCTGTTGCTCTTGTAAAGTTCTAGACGCTTCTCAGACCATCTCTGTCGCTGTCATTCTGCCACTCCCCAACCAGTGTGCTGAGTTGGCCACATCATGGCTTTGCTGTTTCTCCATCTGTAAGCTGGGGATGCCCACGCTGGCCTCCCACTGCCGCAGGAGGGGTAGAAAGATACCTCCGCCCCTCTGAGGACAGCGGCGCCGGCCACGCTGGCCTTCCCGGCTCCCCAGCTCTGAGCTCCCAGGGCTTAATTCTCTGCCAGAACAAAAGACTGTCCCAGCTGCTGCCCCAACCTGGAGGCTCTGCCCCGGGCCTCATAGACAGGGCCTGTTTCTGAGTGGCTTTTCTGCCAACCCCCTCCCCAGGGTCCCAGACCAGAGGGTCCAAATCAGGGGTCATGCTTTCTGATCCCTTCCCAAAAAGGCCACACTGAAGGAGGTGCCAGTAGATATTATCATCCCTTTGATAATATAATGGAATATTTAAGGAGAATAAACTTTTCTTAAAAAAAGATCAAGCTGTTTCGATCCATTCATGCACCAGGCACTGCCCCTGAGACTTGAGTCCAGTGTGTGTGTGCACACTGTGTCTTACACACAATTGCAGCCGGCATGCAGCTTTACTTACTTCTCAGCATGTAGCAAAAGGGGGGCCTCCAGAACCAGGCGTGACAGCCAGGTACACCATTGAGGAGGGGACGTCTCAGGCAGCCGCTGCCACTCTGCCTGTGAAAACGCCAGCTCCAATTCAAAGGGATCAAATATTTGCCTAGCTGTTCAACATTTCTTCAAATAATATACTCGCGACTAATTCATCTCTAGACTCGATGTCTTCATCGCTCCCAGGCCTGCCTCCTGGATTAGTGTGTCTTGTCTATTCTGGGAGAACGTTGTCCTACATTCTAAAAATAGGCCCTGGAGTCTGGACACTGGAATGCACAGTCAGCGGAGGCTTCTTTATTTATCTTGAGGACCGTCCTCTGGGGACAGCTGCAACAGAGCCCAGAGACACACTCGTGAAACAGCCAGTCGTGGGTGCCCAGGTGCATGGAGGAGGCTGGGTCCTCCTGTGCCGGCTGCTGCCTTCCAGGAGAGGCCCCGGTCTGCTCTCAAGGATGCCCTGCCCGCCTGGCTCTCTGACTTTGGGAAGTACAGGCCTCCCACATCAGAGGCAAGGGCCTCTCTCCTCCACAGCAGGGTCCCTCTGCACCTCAAAGTTAGAAGCCCAGGACGTCCTTATATCGCCAGGGCCTGGCGAGCAGCAGGGGGCATGCCCATTCGGGAGATTTTGATGAAGGGGTACTCACGGAGGAGGGCAGCCCCTCGAGGCCAATAGCAGTGGGGCTGTTCCTGCTCCTGGGCTGCGGGGCCAGGCGAGGAGGGGCTACCTGACTCTGCAGCCAATGTGGCTGTGCGGAAAGCACCACCTGGCAGGAGTGGGGACCTCGGGAGGAGGAGCCTGGGGCATGGCCACCCAGCCACTGTCATCCAGCCCCAGTCTGCTGCTGGCCCCAGCCTCAAACCCACCCAGAGGGCAGAGTGATGCGTCCCTGTGGGGAAGCCCGAGGGGAGGTGCATGGAGCAGGTGGGGCCGTGCAGAGGGGACACATTCAGCTCCCTGTGCCTCTGGTGGGACCTCTCCACCTCAGTGGCCTCGTTCTGTCTCTCCTTGTGCTGGCCATCATCTCTCACAGGCTCACCTTCTCTTGGTGTCCTCTGCAGATGTCCCTCCTGCTTCCTTGGCTATGAAGGAGGACGGCGGGGTACCACGCACCTCTCCCAGGCAGTCCAGTGCCATGGCACCCAACAGCCCCACCACAGTCGTCTGCGCCACTCGAGGAGGGCGGGGCTGGGCCCTGGAGACGGGCTGCATGTGGTTCTCGGCTCTTCCTTCTCTGAACTGCTCTAAATGAGGCCAATCAGGGTTACTTTCATTTATTACTTGAAGGACTTCCTCGTTCGCCTCCTTTCATCTTTCTGCCGCTCTGGCCTGGAATCAGCGAGGAGAGCTTCCCTGCTCCTGCAGCACCGCTCGCCCCCACCAGGCCCCGCCGGGAGCTCCTGCCGTGTGCCCAGCCTACATGAGCCACGCGTGGCAAGGCGCCTGCGCTCAGAGCACTCGGTCCCGGTAGGGGCAAGACCCCGCCACCCCAACTCACTCAGTCATTTGACAGAATGCACCCAGGGCCACATGTGCAGGCTCTGGGCCGGGCTCTGGGGGAATACAGTAATGAAGGATCTAGTGTCTGCTCTTGACAGAAGAGATAGGGAGCTTGTACAGCACAGTGGAGAGGCCCATGTAAGCCTCAGTTTCCTCTTCTGTTAATAGGGGTGACAGTCCTATCTCACAGGCTCGCTGAAGGGTGATGTGAGATCACAGAAAGTTGTTGTTAGTAAGTGGACTTTGCCCCATGCCCCCACACACAGAAGACGTATAACCTCAAATGGAAGGTGGGGCCTCCCAGATGGGGCTGGGCATGCAGACCTCAGACAGCAGGAGGACCAGGAGGACCAGACATGGACCCAGCCTTCGACTTCAGCTCCGGTTTTAAATGGAATACAGTCATTCCCAGAATGAATGTCCCCTCTCTGAGGTGTGTCCACTTGTGGGGGCACCTCGTAGCAGAACTCAGCATGGCACAAAGAAAATCCCACTCTCCTAATCTGGGGACGATGGACAGCCAGCCTATGCAAAGTGAATTTTCCTGTTATTTTTGCTCATTTTCAAGTCTGTTGGGTGCAACGAGGCTGATCGCCGTTCTGACATTTTTCTTCCTCGTTAGGAAAGACGCCCCTGGTGGCTTACCTGTGCCCGGCGCGGAGCAGAAAACAAATGTCACTGGCATCCGCTCTCCTGTGCTCGCGGGTGTAAGCAAGAAAAAGGCACCTGCAGGAGAGGGAAGGAAGGGGGTCGAAAACTGCTGGGTGGTTACTCTTCACAAGAACTCCGGTCTCTCCAGCCACCCGGACACCCCTTCCCTGACACCCTCCCTGACCTGTCAGGGCCCCTCTGTCCTGAAACCCCAGCACTCCACAGGGACTTCTCCTCTCCCTGTGGTTTGTCTTCCTCTGTAGCGGGTCCCTCGTCCCTGCTGTGGTGGACAGCCCTATTCTTTCCTTTGTCCAGGTGCCCGCTCCGCCTTTGGGGCCCCGCCCTCGCTGGAAGTCCATATGATCTGGGTGGAGCCAGCTGGGGCCGCAGGGCGAGCCGCCTGTCAGAACTAGCCTCAGGGGCCAGGAGGCTTCCTGAGACCTCTCCTCCAGCTGAGGCTCAGCCCAGGGCCGCGGCAACATGGACATCACTCAGGAGAACCTGTCCTGAGAAAGAAGCCAACTCTGGGGACAGCTGAGCCTGTCATGAGAATCTGGGACCTGACGTCCTAGTTGAGTCCTGGGCCCAGGGCTGTGGACTTGACAGGCAGACATCATCCTTCTCCTCTTCCCTAAGTGTCCCTTGGAGGAGCTGGGGACCCACCTCACCTCATCCCGCCACGCACAGCCCCTGCCTCTGGCTGAGGTAGCTTGAGGTGGATCCCCAGCCCGGCTGAGTCCCCAGAAGAGGCAGGGCTGCTGCCCAGGGCACAGTGGCCAGCAGCCTGCCTGCTGCTCGGCTCCCAGGGCTGCAGTCCAGGGGGATCTTGTAATGCCCTGACGTCCTGTTTTATACCCAGAAGCGGTGCGTAAAAGGCACAGCATCTTCAATGAGCTGAGCCCCACTTCCTTCCTGCAGGGCCTGTGCTTCCGGAAGCCAGCGTAGCAGTAGTGGTTCACGCCCAACTGTTTCAGGCCCCTATTTGTCCCTCCACACTGGGGTCTGTCCTTCCCCTCGGGAGAGGGCTTTGAGTTTCGAGCGCCAGCCCTCTCTTCCTGGTCTGACCCCCGCCCTGCTTTGGACCCCTTTCCCCTCTCTTGTCTGGGCCCCTTTCCTTCCACTACCTCAAACACGTCCACCACACTGAGCACTTATTAGGCACCTGGTGTGCACCCCAGCAGAGGCCTCCCAGACACCCGCTTCCTATGCCATTTGAGTGCCCACTTTCACTCTCCTGGAGCCCTGTTCTTTTCCTCACAGCAGCTATCACTCTTCATCATTGCTCAGTGTTTTCTTTTTTACTGGATTCACTGATGTCTCATCAGTAATCTGTCAGCTCTCACAGAAACTTTGTTCTCCGCTTAAGTATGCTAGCACCTCACTCAGGGGTTGGCACACAGTGGGATCTTGAGAAACCTCCACGGGATGACTCAGTGGGTGGGCATGAGTGGGCCAGGCCCTGGCCCCGGGCCGGTGTGCGGCCAAGCAGAGCTGGCCCGGAAGCTGCTCCCAGGGGGCGCGGCCTCTGGGGGGTGGAATGGGACTGGGGGGGGGAATCCAGGCCTCCAGAACTGTGCTGTGAGGCGGGGTGTGTGCAGTATCCTAAGGGCAGACAGGAGGCAGAGCCCGCAGCTCTGCGGAGGAGCCAAAGCTGCTGGGCGGAGCGTTTGCTGGGTAGACACTCATGGCTGCAAGGCAGAGAATTGAGGAGAAATGTAGAAATGAGAACGGGGAATTCTGTCCACTGCCTGGTCATCTCCTGCTTGCCCTCTGGCCCTGACTTCCCAAACAGAAAGTTAGCTTTGTGGGCAGAGACGGGCTGTGATGTTTCTCGCCTGTCCCACATCATTTGGCACAGGGCTGCGCTGCATGGCAGGTGACTAATAATGCTCATAGTCACCCGCAGGAAATGGCTTACGAGTGTTTAGGTAGTGTCTACGCAGTGTCAAAGTTCCCATGTTCCATGCCCAACTTCAGGCCTGGGGGTGGGAGTGGCAGGGTAGCCCGTGGACTCTTTGGCACCAACCCAGCATGGCGCCATCCAAAAAGGAATGACGTTTTCATCCCAAGTCCACCTCAGTTGTCCCTGTGTCATTCACAACTGACCGCTGGCCCCAGGAGCCGCAAACCTCGGCTGGGTCTAGCCAGAGGCGCAGCGCAGGGCATTGGGCATTGGGGCAATCCTCAGCTTCACCACTTGGGGGTGAGTGGCGTGGGCAGTCCCCTAACCCTCTCCCGAGTCCCTCCCTGCACCTGACAAGACCCCAGGAGAGTTGGAGGAGCATGTGACCCAGGGCTGGGCAGGCCAGGAGGAACACGCCACCCCAGTGCCGGTCTTCCGTGTGGCCGCCCAGAGCCCGGGGCAGAGGGCTCCTTGCCGCCTAGGCAGCCCGTGGCCTCTGGTAAAGCAGGCAGCAGAGCTCTCTGCCCGCCCAGCCCGGTCATGCTTCTCGGAGGGCGGGGACCTGGGCCCTCTGGATGCTCACCCCATCCTGCCTCCCCACTGAGGGCTCAGCACCGGGCCTTGTGCATTCTTGGTGCTCCAAAAGGCATTTATTGAATGATGTGTGAATGATTAATTGGAATTCAATCAACGTTTGCAGAAATACCAACCATTTTGCTAACTTTCCCCCAAACCCCTGCCTCCCTCCCATGGCGGCACTTGCCCTGCCGCAGGGAGAAAGGGGCCTTACTTAGTCTTAGGGACCAGCCAGGACGGGGAGCCCCACCTGCTCGCCTCGAGCCACAGATGCAGGACTAAGGCTGCCCTCAGATGCTCACACGGTGTCCTCTGGGCCCTTGTTGTGCAGTGTGGCCCTTCCTTAAGCAGCCGTCTCTAGCCCGGTTATGTGGAGCCTGGAGACTGCAGGGGCTCGGGGTCAGCACTCTGTCCCCATGGCCAGCCCGTAGATGAGAATTTAGCAGTTCTCAGGTGCAGATCCATGCCTGCAGATGTGCTGGCCCCCAGAATTCCAGATGCCCGAAAAGGCTGCGTTAGCTAGGCTGCCGATGGGGGCGGGGTCCCTGCAGGGGACAGGTAGCCCTGCCCCAGCCATGGCCCCAGAGTTGGGGGTGAAGTTCTGATTGTAAGTCTAGAGATTCTAATGTTGGTCCAGTCCCATTCCCCAAAGATAAACTGGTCCAGTCTCTGCCATCTTTCCGGATAGCTCCTTTTAAGCAGAAGTAGTCCAAATTCTAAATGTCTAGACACTGACATTTGGAGTTTCTTGATAGTGTTTTCAAACAGGAAAACTTGCTCTGAAAAGCACAGTCACACGTGGACACTCACACACCACCGGCAGCATGGAGTCCTGGCTTGCAACATGCTCAGAGCCCTCCCTGAACTTGCCTGCAAGATGATGTCATTAGAGTTTGTTCCTAGTGAGTTTTAGAGAGCCTTCTTTTTTTAAAAAAAACCACACTGACAGTTTGTTTCCTCTCATCTTCCCAACAGCAGGGAAGTCTGGCCCTTGAGTATTTATGGGCCTTTGCTGCACGCTGGGAAATGAGGCATCAGCCATCACAGGGCGGGGGACAGGACCCCAGAGAGGGACCTGGGCCTGGCCCTACCACATCCTTACGAAGGGACACTGGGAAGTCTCTTTGCTTCTGTTTGCTCGTCAATAAGATGGAACAGGGTTCCTTCCCTGCTTGCTGGATGCGAACGTCTCCACGGGGGCCTGGATATAGGGAGAGGCTGTTGCTGTGACTGCAGAGGTGGGAAAGCAGTGATGATGAGCATGTGGATTGGAACAGACTGCCCGCGCTTGAATCTTGCCTCTGCCCACTGCTAGCTGTATGACCTCAATGGAGCTTCTTGACCTCTTTGTACCTCAGTTTCCTCATCTGTAAAGTGGGGATAATATGAAAAGCCCCTACCTCGTCAGGTTTTTGTGAGGACTTGGGAAGTTCACGAGAGTTGGCTGGGCCATAGAAAAGCATGGACACCAGGAGCCTGGTGTCCCATAATGCTGGCCTCATGATTGTCCCCTCCACAGAGCCCTGGACACTCAGCATTCTTTCCAGCAAGGGGTGTTCCCGAGGCACAGCCCCGCCCTGGAGACCTGGCTCCTCAGTGTTAGGAGAAGCCTGACTCAATTCCACTGTTTGAAGCTTTCAGGCAATTAAATCATGAAAAAATGCCAAAGCAAGGTTACGCAAATTAGGGTAAACTGAATACATTTACATAAAGCAAGTGAATGCTTTTAAACAGACACACAGAGACTCCCTCAAAACCCTCACCGGACACGGTGACAACAGTCTGCACTTGATGTTCATCGGGAACGGAGGAGTGGCCTGGGTGACGGCTTCTCCTTCCCCTGCCCTGGCCTGCCCCATCGGGCCTGCCTTGAGGCATTAGGTGGGGAGGTATCCAGGCCTAGGCAGAGGCAGGGACGAAGGGCGGGGGAGCCTTTGCAAGGCGTCTGCCCAGCCTGTGCATCTGCGGCTCCTTGGTGCTCTGTGAGGCTGGCCTGGGTGGCCGCAAGAGAAGGCAGGCAGGCTGCCCTGCACAGGTGTGTGTGGCCAGGCCGTGGGGTGGTGGCAGTGTGTCAGGCGTGCCCAGACCTTCTTGCTAGACTGGCCTCCTTGGGACGCAGCCCCTCCTCCCCGATGGCCCTAGGGCTGTCCAAGAGCTGGTGGAGATGGATTGAGAAGAATTGAAGCTAAAATGACTCTGAGAGTCTCAACCCTAGGCGTGTCCCCATGCTCCCTGGGACTCAGTGGCAGGAGTTCAGGTTTACAGATCTAGCCATTGACGGCTCCCGTGGTGGCAGGAAGCTCCAGCTTCTAAACCCGCTCCCGGCTGGCTCTCTCCTCGACTCCTTGGGGCCTGGGTGTCCTCTGTGGCTGGCCTGCCGTACAAATGTCTCTGGGGCCCGGCCTGGAAGCAGCTGATTACCTCCCTCCCATGACTCCCACTCGGCTCCTGGCTTTCCCAACCCCGGCTGTGCGTGACTGCCACCTGGGAGGGGCCCTGGAGTGCTGGCACCTGTGGCTTCCTCCACTCCAGAACAACGGCACACGCAGCACCCTTCAGGGCCCTGGTCCGGGCACACCTCAGAGGCACATCTGACTGCAGGCTGACTGCACAGCCTGAACCCAGGCCAGGGGCTGCTCCCAGAGGGTCCCGAGCAGGGGATCAAGGTCAAGAGAGTTGGCTGTCCCGTGTGGCCATGACAGAAGTCCCAGCTTGGGAGATGACAGCAGGGACTGAGATCCTCTTTGGCCAGATAGGAGTGAAGCTGAGTCAGACGGAACAAGATTTCACTCCAAATCCAGCCTGCTTTAACCAAGTACAGCTGTGGCCACGCCCCTGCTGGGGCTTCATCACTTCCATCCGCCCCACATGCCCGGCTCCAGGCGCGTGGGGCCAAACGGCTCTGTGAAACAGCACTGAGCTGGCAGGGACGCCTACGGTCTCCCCGACCCATCACTCTGGGACCTGGAGCTGACCTGTGAGCAGAGCAGACTGAGTGCCAGGTGGCCTTTGGTCCAGCTGAGAGGCTCCCAATCTCGAGCACACGTGCGATTGACCGCAGGAGCTGTGAGCCCTGAGCCACGGGCCTGGCCCAGGCCACTCAGGGGCTGTCCGGGCAACTGTGGTTTCCCTGTGTGGGGGTGCTCCATGGTGACTCTGGGGCGGGCAGTGCTAAGAGCCCCTGCCTCCCTTCCCAACGTCACTTCCACTCTGCTCCGCTCCTTCCCCTCGCTCTGGCCACAGAGACTTTCTCTCGACACCCACACTCCAAACTTGCTCTGGCCTTGGAGCCCTGGTGCCTGCTCTTCTCTGTGCCTGGAAGGTCCTTCTCCCAGAGCTTGACACGCAGGCTGCTTCGCCCCCTTCAGCTCAAGGTCACCTCCTCTGAAAAGCCCTCTCTGACCACCCAGACCCCCTCTCATAGCCCTTCCCACACCTGCCCCTAGGGTGCCAGACCTGACGGTGGGGCCTGGTCAGTCTGGTTCCCCTGCAATGTGCCTGGGGCAGGCCTGGTTCCCGGTGAGCATTTGTTGTTTTCAATAAACACTGAGGACAGCGAGGGGCCTCAGAAAGCTAAGAGTGAATTCAGGAGAGTGGAGAGGGCTGCCCCATTAGCACAGGACCCACTGTGGGGGGCCCCAGGGCTCCCATGCCGCTGCCCCCTCAGCATTCACCCTTCCCTTCATGCAGCCTGGCTCCCTGCTTGAGGGACAGCTCTGGCCGTGGGGGCCTGCTCTGCCTGTATGCAGGACGGGCGGGAGGTGCCAGGAGCCAAGGCCCTGGGAACAGCCTTCGGTCAGTGACAGGACAAGATGGGCGGTGAGGAGCTCAGCGCCCTTACCCTTAGGATGGGCCGAGGCCGGGGCTGCACTGTGTCCCGGGTCCCGCAGTGGGGCTGCCTGCAGCAGGACCTGCTCATTCACCTGCTCGGGACTGGCTCCCTTCTCTTCTCTGCCTCACCGTGCGACCCTGCTAACAGGACCTGGAAGAACCGGCCCTGTGGCCAGTCTGCCCAGCAGCCTTTCAGTGATGAATCCGTGGTCCCAGGGGAGGCACCCTAGTGTTCTAATCACTGTTCGTGGATAACCTGCCCCAAGGAGGGCGGGGATCGCTGCTGGGCCCCTTCAGCTCCCGAGTCGGGCTCGGGTTCCTGCAGAAAGGGGGCCCTGGGCCGCCTGCTGCCGCCCCAAAGATGAGCTGAACTGAACAAGGTGACGAAAGTTGTCATCTGGAAAAGTCTCGTGGGCAAAGGCCGCAGGGGGAGCAGAGCGTAGGAGAGAAGGGTGAGTTCAGGGGGTGAGATTCTTGGAGAAGCGAAGGCCAGGGCACGAGCTGAGCCACAGCCGCGGCGGGAGCAGAGAAAGTTCGCCACTCCTCCCGCCCTCCCACATATTTCTAAGAGCTTTATTTTTCTTGCCAGTTGGCTAAGAAGCAGAAAAGGAACAATAGATTCAAGCTGAAATAATTTGCATTTATGATGAACACAAGGAATATCTACCTTGCATTTTCCTAAAAAAGAAAAATTAAACCTCATTTTTAATTAACTGATAAACTATTAATCAAATTTTTGCAATGTTAGGTGACACATTATTCATTTAGATAGAATGACTGTGAACTTAAACTAATCAAATCTGATTTGCCCACATAGGCTTGATTGAAATACATTTTAACTAGCATATACAAAGAGAAAATCTTGGATTTCTTACCTAATCTTCAGAGTATACTGCTGAGTTAATAAGGGCAGTTTTTTTTTTAAATGAGACCACTATTTCTTCATCTGCATATCAAAATCAAGAGGAACTTAATTGCAAAACACATATTCCTGAAATCTAATCATTACACTGCTTTAGGGTATTTTATTGAAGCATGTTAAATTATGGACAGAATATTAATGATGGAGCTAATCAAACCCAATTAGTCACTTCTAACAATAGTCACATAAATATACAAGTCAGGTACTAAAGTACCACAGACATGATGGAAAATTGTTAAAATATTAAATGTATGGGATATTTATGAAATATTCATATAGAATTTAAAGCCAAAAAGTATTGGGTAAGTCACTTTAAAGAAAACAAGTTAGGCAGTGTCCTACAAGATTTGACGAGAATTCACAAGTTTTCACATATTCTTTGGGTACCTTGAAATCCAGGAGATTAGCCAGTCTATAATCAATCAATCAGCAAATTCTAATAAGATGACTTACCATATTCATGACCCAGTATTTCACTCTTGCATCCAGACTTTTTTCATCTTTTGTTTTCTGACTGGTGGAAAGGCAGGTCTGGGTCTCTAGGCCCCAGAAGAGGCGACGGAGCGGGGATGGAGTTCTCTGGGTCGGGGGTTTGCTGTCCGCAGTGTCTCCCTCCCTTCCCCCGGGGCAAAGGCGGACAGGAGGAGGCAGAGGAGTTGCTGCCTGGTGGACTTCCTCCTCCTCCCAGAGGTGAGGCTTCAGGAAATGGGGCGGAAGTCTCCAGGGAAGCCTGGGCCTTGGCCTGGGAGGAGCCTTGGTGGAAGATTCCAGGCCTGGGAGTGGGACCAAAGACAGTGGGCAGCCCTGGATCTGGGGATTCCCCCCTGCAGAGTTCATCCCCTGCTTCATTTCAAGCCAGCTACCTCTGGCTGCATGGTCCTGGACATCCACATCATCCATGCCTGCCAGGTCGGCAGTTTCACCACGGGCTAGCTCCCAGGGCCCCCCTTAATGGAGGAGGTTGTCAGGCTGATAGCTCACTTTATTGGCCATTGTCCTTTTCTGGTGTCCACTCCAGGCCTCCTCTTTCCCCTCTTGAGTCCTCTTGACAGGAAGCTGCACTCCCGCCGCACATGCTGAAACCTCTGCTCCGGGGAGACGCGGACCTGTAGCACTACAACCAGCTCTGGCCAAACGTCCCAAGTGGAACGCCAGAGGAAGGAGGAACGTCAGTCCCACCCTCCCACCCACCCACCCATCCGTCCTATAAACGTTTACCAAGGATGAATGCGTGCCAGGGCCTGTGCTGGACACTCCCTAAGTTCGGGGAGCACAGAAACAAAGCAGAAACTGTATTGTGTTTCCTGTACATCATGCATGCTCCTATATCTGATAATGGCCCTTCCGTTTCCTTGGAGGAGTCCCTCTGCCCCTACTTTCAGGCTCTAAGGTTGAGGGGCTGCTCCACTCCCTGGGCTCACAGTGGGCATGGGAGCCAGGCCTCCCAGCAGCGTGCTCCATCCCTGAGTTCCTGCGACTGGCTCAGGTGACCAGCATGTTGTCCTGGGGTCTTTGCTGGAACTATAAGGAAAGAGAAGCCCTCTTCTGCTGGGGTGTCCTGGGAGGAGAGGTTGGGGCCACAACACCGAGAGAGGGTGCCTAAGACCGAAGCCAGCACAGAGGACAGGAGGGCAAGCCCTGATGACATCGGCTAGGCTCCTAAATCCAGCTGGGCCTGGAACTGTTCAGTTACCTGAGCTGATAAATCCCCTCTTGTCTTCCCTTTTAGCTAGTTTGAGTTATGTTTTCTGTCACCTGCAACCAAAAGAGTCATGGCTAGTAGAGAGGAGAGAAACAGAGAGACACACTCCAGACCTGCAGAGACGACCTGAGCATGGAGCAGGTGGGGGCTCAGTGGTGGGCATGGCCTTCCGGCTTCTGCAGCTCTGACAACTGGAGACGGGAGCTGGAGAGAAATCTGGATGGGCTCCCGAAGGACCACCAGGGCCATGTCTTCACCCCGGGTGCCCTTTGTGATCAGGGAGGGATGGCAAGTGGAGCGAATGTGGTCACCCTGCAGGAGAGGTGGGGTGTGGTGCACACGCTGAGCATCATCCTGGGGTCCGTGGCCCAGCACGTGGCTTGATGAGTGGTCACAGATGCACAGGGCCTGATACGTTCTAGCACGTTCACATGCCACACTAGTACCGAAAACACAAGGTCCTTCCGGCAAGAATTTCTTTCTTGCCTGACATTCATGGCTTTCTACTGTCTAGCCCCAGCGTACCTCAGCAGCTTTATCTCCCCTGCTCCAGCTGCACCCCTCAATTTGTGAGGCCCCGCCCCATAACATTCCACACCCTCTGGGATTCTCCATATTTTTTTTTTTGGTGAGGAAGATGGTGGCTGAGCTAACATCTGTGCCAATCTTCCTCTATTTTATGTGGGATGCCACCACAGTGTAGCCTGACAATTGCTGCTATGTCCATGCCTGGGATCTGAACCTGAGACCCCCAGGCTGCCAAAGCAGAGCATGTGAACTTAACCACTATGCCACCAGGCTGGCCCTGGAATTCTCCATCTTTTGGCAATTCCTTCTGCAAGGCCCAGCTCCACTGCCACTTCCTCCATGAAACCCGCCCTGGTTTCTTCCTGCTCAGTTGGATCTCTCCGTGTTTCGAGGCCTGTTCTTGTGGACTTCTCATGCCCTTTGCTTTCTGTGCCTTGGAGTGGGAAGGGACATCCAGGAGCAGAGGCTGCATCCACTTTTGGGTGGAGGCGCCAGCAGAGACAGAGGCCTCCACTGCAGATGCAGAGTTGAAAACAAGAGTTTAGCGGAAGCTGCAAACCTCAGCCAGAGATGAGCGGGGGATCCCGCAGCACAGCCGTGGGAGTCCTCACCGGACAGGGCAGTGCTCTTCAAGCCCTGCACTTCTAGTCAGCAGGGGGTAGGCGACGCCCTGGACCCGGGCGCAGGCCTGTGACTCAGGTCCCCATCATGCCATGAGCCCCCCCAGGGCAGCAGGAGCCGGCCGTTCCTTTCAGCCTCCTGGCGCCGTCAGGAAGGGTTGGTGGCAGGACACCCCCAGACTCCGAAAACTTCCCCGGGCTCTGGGGCCCCCTCAGGCTCCCAAACAGGCTCTGGTTGAGACTTCGCTTTGGGTCAGCGTGAGGCAGATGTTCCTGAGCTGCTGACAATTCCAACCAGGCTAAGTTGGACCTTCGTAAAGTACCGCATGTACTTTTGAATAATTTTAAAAATCAGATAATAATGCAAAATGATAAATATCAGTTAACATTTTTGCCTCATTTTTTTTTAAAGAAGCAAAAAGTAGCAGATAGTAGATGCAGTATATCCATTGCCTAGTGATGGGCATTTAGATGACTCCCAGTTAGTGAATGCCCTGTGGGCGTCCGTGGACACACGCGTAGGCGTTTCTAGTGTGTATACCGGAGGGGCAGCGGCGTCTTCAGCTTTGCTCTTCAGTGCCAAACGTCTGCGCCCACCATCGGGCGTGAGGGTCCCCTGCCTCCTCGCCAGCACTTGGTATTATTAGACTTGCGTGTTTTCTTGTCTCAGGGGTGTGACGGAGTAGCTGGCGGCTGATTTAATGCGTGTCTCCCGGTTGCCAGAAGTCCCACGTGCCTTTTCAGGCAATTTTGAGTCCATCCCGTCATTGCATTATTCTGGTGTGTCCTCCCCCGACAACTGGGCTCCTCTAGGAGGCACAGCTGCTGTGGGTTTCAGGTGAGCAACTTAGCCTCCATGCCCTCATCCGTGAAATGGACTACTGATGGCTACCCCGTGAGGTTTAGACAACGTGGACCAGCTCTTTCTGCCTCCACAGTCCAAAGCTGATGGGTGGACCACGGTCTGTCTTCCTCCTGTGGGCAGTCAGGCCTGGGATGATGCTCTCATTTGTGTCGAGAAGAAGAGAGCCCACACTGCTGAGACCAGGGTGCCATTTCGGGTCCAGCAAGCTTCTTCTGAAGCTGGGGCGGCTCTCCATTTCCTCAGGCTTCACTGGAGCCGCAAGGAGGGCTCACTTTTCCCTGCCAGGAGGCTGAGGAGGAGGAGGTGGGGGAGGTAGGGAGAGGAGGTGCCACCTGCAGGGCTGCATTTGGGGCTAGAGAGCCCATGCCTGCAGCCATGGCGCTACAGTGTCCCTGCCCAGGCACTCGGCCTCTCCCCGCTGAGGGCCTCGGCAGACCTGGGAAGGGGAGGCAGGGCCCAGGGTCAGGCCAGGCCGACATGGCAGAAAGGAAGCGTCTGTGCTGGAGACACACCTGCCAGATGATTTATTTCTGCCCTGGGCTCCTCCAGTGGCCCAGCCTCACTTCTGCTTGGCAAGGCCTCCCGAGCCCCAAAGCAGAACTGCTTCACTCAAGACAGGAGAGAACCGTCAAGGTAACTGCCTGGATTTTCCTGGGGACTTTGGCCCCAAGGACCCCCGGGAACGTCCTGAAACTTGTCAGTTAGCCATCAGGGCACTGTCCAGTTACCTGGACTCTTCAGTTACCAAAAAGCAGCATCAAATGACCTTCAAGACACCCATGTCAACGGGGCAGTACCATGAGTTTTGGCAACTATTACAGCTGTCTAACTAGACTAAAGTCTTCCAAAATGCGTAATTTCCGGGGGTACTGATCCTATTCGTTGAAAACATAAAAATGCAACTCTTTCCAATCAGGGGGCAAGAACGTGGGCTCACGTCAGGGAAGACCGGCGTCTGTGGGCCAGGCTGTAGCGGAGCCCCCGCGGAGCTGCTGGACAGGCCTGAAGCGTGAGCACGGGGTTAGGGAGGCCCCTTCTCTGCATCTTTCCTGAAGTACCTTTTTACTTCTCAAAACCATTAGACCAAGGATCAAGAGGAAAGGAACTCAGAACAAGGCTTCCAAATTGTGCATCACAAAGTGTTAATCAAGATTTTCAAAAATAATGAAGCACGTTTAATCACATTGCCTCTCACTAAGAATTTCATAATTAATATTTGGGTGAGAGCAAAAAGATTGTGTTGTTAATAAATAAGCTATTTTAAATATTGTTTATTTTATCTCTATCTTATCCTTTTAAGATGTGTATATTTTGTGTATGTTTTCTTGTAAACATAGTAAAATAATACCATAGCATGCAGCAGACCCTGAGACAGGACTCGGGTGCAGGCCATTTATTTGGGAGGTGGTTTCAGGAAGCAGGAGGGAGGGAGAGTGGGGGGAAAGGGGGTCATAAACGATGGCTTACCCCCTCCCAGGAGGCCGTCTGAGCTATCATGTGGAATATGTCCAAATCGCCCCATTGAGACATGGGGGGCTGGGATCCCCACCTTCTTCCCTCATGGTGGAGAGTCGTCCTTGCGATGCTCACTCCCCGACACCTTCGACACCTTCGCGGCCCTGCCAGCAGGCTAAGCCAACTTCCGAGGTGCAGGAAGACGCTTCATTCTGGAGAGCAGGGATGCGCCTACACTGCCGCTGGTTTGGAAGTGTCCACCACAGCCGCAGGTGGACTCAGACACGGCGAGCAGAGACGGGGCGGCCACCTGCAGCATTCGCTGAAAGGCCTGTGCTTGTAAATTTTTGCCTAAAAAAAGTGCATAACCTAAAACTGAACGGAGACCAGCAACCTTGAGATTATTCAGAAAGTGGTAAAAAACTAGGTGGTGACTGGGAACAGCCCACGTGGGGATCCCAAACCCACTCTTGTTAGGAACAGTCAAAGCACCCCCTCCCCAGCACCCAGCCTCGATTATGTTCTGGGTAAACTACCAAATCCTTAAGGACAGGGTAATAATCATGCTGCTTGGACTGTCCCAGGGCAGAGACAATGACCCACTACGTCCCTAAATGGGAAAACTTGCTACTGACATGGTCATTCCCCTCGAATTCATCTATAAGTTTAATGTAATTCCAGGCAAAGGGAGGGGAAACTCATTCTGTCACAATTTTTATGCCTTTCTTTTAAAAACTCCTAAAAGGCACCCCTTGATGCATTTGAATTTTATTTTTTTAATTAAATTAATTGAGGTACAATTTCCATACAAAAAAACTGCGTCCATATAAAGTGCACACTTTGGTGAGTTTGGCAGGGGTACACACCCCAGAAGGCAGCCCCACAGTTGAGATACAGACTATTTCCATCATCCCCCAAAGCTCCCTCGTGCTCCCTCCCTCTTCCCCGGGGCCCAGCAGCCACTGATCTGCTTTCTGTTCCCGGAGATTCAGAGATTCGTTTG